TCACTCAGTGTCTCATAGTAGGGGAGAAGAATATCAGTCCCACAGATATGAAGAAGCTTCCCGAGCCGACCCCTAGATGTGGTGGAATCCCCTTTGTCCATGTCCCCAGTGCCTTCTGTCTCTCAGTAGGGGAGGAGTATCAGGTGCAAGCAGAATGAGAGGGTTTCTCAACCGGGGTCCTTGCTGTCGCAGGATCCCTCTTTCTGGTGCCATCCAGCCCCTGATATTGGTAGGGGAGGGTATCTAGGCCAGACCACTTCTTGTGGGATTCCCCTTGCTTGTATACCTGGGCATGTTGTATCACTGGATGAGGGATGGGGGTTTCAGACCCAGGAGGGAAGAAGAGTACTTTCCCTGGACCTTAATTGTCAACGTAGCTCTCTGGTAATCCCCTTTGCTTGTGCTACCATGCTCATCTGGCAGGATTCCCATTTAATCCAGGGAAGGACTGAGCCTATTTGGGTGCCTTTTATTGCTAGATTGGAGTTTAGGAAATGTTGGTCCTGGGTTGCCTTCTGTTGTGTGGGATGCAATAAGACACTTTGCCTGTAATTCTTCCTTCAGTTTTGAGGTTCCTAATCAGTTCACCTTCCTCTGCACCTGTCAGCACTCTCCTTTTGTTATTTTGTATTATTTCCAGGGTTTATAGTTGTACTATGCCAGGGAGAGCAGGGAGAAATGAATTTATGCCATCTGGTCTGAACTGGAAGTCTAGTTAACTTTTAGAACACATGGAATATAGCTATAATGACTCTTAACGTCCTCGTTTCCTAATTCTATCATCCTGTGAGTTTTGTTCAGTTTCAGTTGGTTGACTTTTCCCCCTCATTATGGGTTGTATTACCCTGCTGCTTTTTGTATGCTTGGTAATCTTTGATTGGATGCCAGCCATTATTAATTACCTTATTGAATACTGTATATTTTTCTATTTGAAATATCCTTGACCTCTATTCTGTACAGATAAACCATTTGAAAAGAGATTGATCTATTCCAGTCTTGTTTTAAGATTTGTTAGGTGGGACAAGAAGACTGGTCTAAGGATAATTTTCTATTGCTGAGGCAAGATCCTTTTGAGTACTTTAACGAATAACCTATGAATTATGTGGTTTTCCAGGCTGGCTGATTGGAACAAGCACTATTCCCAGCTCTGTGTGAGAGCTGGGTACTATTCTTATAATTTTCTCAGATGATTCTTTCCTCAGCCTCATGTAGTTTCCTCATATACATGTCTGATTAATGCTTTGCTGAATACTCAAGGGAACCCTCCACAGATCTCTGGAGTTTTCTTGCTATGCAGCTTTATCTTCTCCTATACTCGGTCCCACAAACTCTGGGCTCCTTGGCTTCCCAGGATTCTCAACTTTGTGTCATCAACTGACAGAGTCTGCTGGGCTTTCCCTGGGTACTCTCCCTGTCCTATAGTCTGAAATATTTCTCAAGTCAGTAAGGAAAGGCAACCATATGGTTCTCGGTTCTCTTTGGTTCCTTTCTCTCATGAATCACTGTCTTTTGTTGCCTGATCACCAGTGTCTTAAAAACATTGTTTCACAGATTTTGTGTGTAATTTTTGGTTATTTCAGTCAGGTGGGTTAATATGATCCCTCTTACTTCATCTTGTCTGGAAACAGAAGTCTTCACATTATTTTTTGTAAGACATTTTAAAATATTTTCCATGGGTATAAATTTCTATTGATGAAATTGATTTTTTTCCCTTCAGAATGATGCTTTTCTGGTTTGCATAGTTTTGATAATAGTTGATCTGGTATTCTTATCTTTGTTCTTACAGATAATGTCTTCTTTCCCCCTCGGGCTGCTTTTAAGATTCTTCTTTTTATTCCTTACTTTTATTCCTAATGCTTTAATTATGGTATGCTTGTGTGTGTGTGTGTGTGTGTGTGTGTGTGTGTG